AATGAAATAGAGAGCAGCTTTGTTTTTCTGTTTTTGCACAGGCAATATTATTATGGAGTATTATGCAAACGTGATCAAATACCTCTTGGGTTCAAAATGAACTTTCAGTTAGCGTGATTGCTGAGTTTTGGGCGTCATTCAGAAGTTCAAAGAGGGAAAATATGGATGTTGGGAATCCTGGATTTTCTTTTACAATTATTATCAGCAATAAATCTGATTTCCATTATGTTCACTGACTTTTACCTCTGTTCTTTCACAATGTAAGAGACATTTAGCCAAATTGTTGGTTAATGATTTTGTTCAGAATGCCATTTGCTGGTATTTATAATAAATCCTTCTTTTCAGTTTCTACAAAGCGTCGCAGGAAGCAGGACCAGTGTTGCAGCCATCTGAACTCCCTCTCATCTATCAAGTACGCCATTGTTTTCCTCTACATCCTGGTTCTTCTCACCATATTTGGACTTTGCCTTGCAGGTAAGGTGTGTGTGTCAGTGGATGACTTTGACAACAATTTATGATGTTTAAGAAGCTCTTAGGAGCCTCAAAACAGACACTGAACAGTGATCTAAGAGAAATCTTTAAGTCAAAGGTTCAACTTTATCTCTTATGAAATCAGTTGAAAGCTATTAACTTCAGTTCAAGCCACTAACACTACATATTTTGATAATCTCCCTATAAAAAATATAATAAAAAGAATGACATAACGTGAGAAGAAGAGCATCATAAAAAGGTCACATTTTTCTGCCTCCGTCTCACCCTACCCTTTATATCCTGTTCTTTCACAGCAATCCTCTGAATGTCCTCTCTAACAACATCCAAACATCTTCTCTGGTGTATATAGTCTTCCTCTTCTCCTCAAGCCTGGCAACCCCACATTCATTATTCTTTGCCCAATTTATCCAATATCCCTCCTCTGCATGTGGTGACCTATTGTACAGATACTCAAGATATTGTGTTTATTTGGAAACTCTGTTCTATTGGAAAAACTGAGAGTTTTTCCTGTGGAAGTTGAGCAAATCTGCACTCCTATAACTCCTGCTGTGCTTTTTTTCTGATCTTTTGCTTGTGTGCATGCAACGAGGTATTTATTTAAAGTGAAAACCGTTTAAATAACACAGAGAAGGCAGTTTTGTTTGTTCAGCTCGCATGAATAAGCTTTGTGACTGACTGGATATCAAATGATCTTTCAGCTGTTCTGGATCAGTTTTTCCAAATGCTTTTGCCAGCTGAATTCAACTACACTTTTGCACCAACCATTATGTTTCAAATGCAATACATCCTCATAAATGGCAAAACAGTTTGTTTGTTTGTTTGATTGCCTTCAAATTTGCAAAGACAGGATCTCTGCTCTGTATAAAAACCTGCAAAAGTCAGTTTTGATACGTTTTTACATGTAAAAAAACCAAACTTGCTTTCTTTAGTCACGGAGTAATTTGTTAATTTGGGTAAAAATAGGCCATCTTATAAGTTTGATGACTTAAGAAGACCAACCTTTACTATGTTTAGCTGTTCTTCTGTTTTCTTTGTTACGTGGAGTACACATCTGCTTCAGACCTTTCTGTAAAGTCAGATTTTCTTTGCATATGTTCATTATCATTATCATTAGCATCAAAGTCATAGTAATACTGGGCTTTTAATCATTTCTTGAACAGTTATTTTTCCAAAAGACATAGAATGATTGTACACCGTACATCTTTAAATATTAAAAAAAAAAAAAAAACACGGATTGGGTGCACAGGAATTTATTTTGGAAATCCGCAGAGGTTTAAAAGTAAACATACAGGGTCAAGCATATATTGCCTACTAACTTTTTGTTAAATTTGCCTTAGAGAACTGCTCGACCGGATGCTTTGCTAGTCATCAGTACACTTCTGGCATTATTTTTGGGCGATATTCTGACCTTGACAAAATTGTTAGTTAATTAAAATTAGTCTGTGTGCTAGCAGACCTGGCTTTTGCATAGTCTACAAAATCTTCAGCTGGGAGATCTAGGATTTGGGAAGCCCATTCCAGAAGCTTAATGGCTATTTATTAAAAGAAACAAAGGAAGGAAATTCAAGGATCATCACCACTTTGCCAGGGTCATAAAAAGACCCAATCGGTTACACTCAGATCAAAGGAAATTTCTTAGGATGCTCAGAAACAATGCAAGAACCATCAAGGCTAAACCTGCCATGAACTGTAAACTGCTGAAACACCAAACTAACTAGAATGAGTCTTTTATCACCGTAGCCGACCACGAAAGAAGCCCCTGCCGTAAAATCAACATCTTAAAGCTTGACTGAAACACAATTGGCTGCTCCAACAGGACAATGAACTGACAGGACACCTATTAACAATGGTTTTGGAAAAAAATAGCTTGTAAAAGTTGGGTCCATGCCAACAAAGATCAAGTATTCAGTCAGAATTATGCCAGAAGCTTGGTGATAGCTCACAAAAGCATTTGGTCAAGTTGTAACTGGTTAAATCACATTTAAATAAATATGAATATAGAAATTTTGTATTTAAAATGTTAGTACCAATGGCAAGGTTGCATTGGTGTTTACTTGGTGTGGCAGAGGTGGACATTTCAACAGATGTGCTGTTTGCATTTAATTTGTTGCTTATAGATAATCATTTACCCATTAAATTTGATTAGTTTTCAAACACACTAAATTAGTATTACTTAGTGAGTCACTATTTTTATTGCTTTGTTTGCTTGTTTTGTTTTTTCATATTAGATGAGCAACTCCACAATCTTCCCTTTGTCACTGAAAAAGTTCTGCAGGTTGGTAACGGCTGCTGTAGATGAGACACATTTATCCTCAGTTTGTAGAAAATCTGACAGAGAGGAAGAGAAAAGTAGAGCGTAACAAAATGTGGCTGTAATGTCTTGGACACATGAAGGAAGTGATTTTATTGTCCGTCATTTACTCTCTGTCATGTAGATTTAAGGTTGAATTATAATGTAGGACACACACACACACACTTACACACTTACATCATAGAAACCCATTTAGTTAGCTTTAAGTAACACTTCGGGATGCAGTCTGAAACTACTCCCTCTTAAACTGTCTGATCTCGTTAAGAACTGAGAACATGCATGCACAATATGAATGAGCAGTCATTTGAAGTACAGCCAATGTCCAACAAAGTCATGATGCTGCTTTTATTGCCTCAGTTCATTTGACAAAATTAGATTTTTAGTTTGTACAAATGTTTTTGTGCCAAATATAGTATCAGTTTCTATAACATTAATGCAACTTTTTCTGTCATCTTCTAATCAGAGTTGTGAAGTCATTTTTTTCAAATGCAATATAAAGTTGACCTTTAGCCCTCTCCGGCGTCTCTGCTCCTACTGCAGAACTCGACACATGTGCGACAGGTTTAAACCTAATTCCCACATGTGACAGCTCTTCTAAAGAGATAAAGCAAGACAGTGATTTCCTTTGACCTGTATGGTTCCCATATTGCCATTAATCCACAGCTGTGCGTTTGCACAGAACTCCACTATATATATATTCTGGGTGATGATAAACAGCACCACCTTTGAACTGGAGTTTCAGCTTTTTTTATTTATGACATTGTATCCTGTTCTTAGCTGGCAACTGATGTGGTCTTCTGTGGTAAAATGTAATCTTACAGCAAACAAAGAAAGTTTAATTTTACCTCAGATGTTGCTGGATCCCATTTTCTTGAAACTGTAGGTTATTGTGCTTTTCTTGGAAGATAAACTCATGCACAAGCTCAGTGCTGTTCTGTAGCACACCGATTATCAAATTTACTTAAAACGAAGAAGTTGAAACTAGAATCCCAAACGTTTCTCTGGCAAAAGGCTCTTTCATGTTTCTTCTGATGAACAGCCAGTGACCATCATTGGTACAACATGTAGCGACGAGGAGAGATTAGTCATTCCCTTACTCACCAAAACATCCTCCAAGCTTACAAAGCTAGAATTGTCTTAAAAGCATAACATGTTTTCATGATCGGCACAACATAAGCGAAACAGAACAGTGGAAATTTGGACGTGTGAATTATGGGGGAAATTAGCATGAGCTGTCGTGACTTCATATCAGGCAGTCCTGTAATAAATTCCAGTATCTTCTGAGCTGTAGTTCCACCTCCTCCTGGTTAATTTGCAGGTGGAAAAAAAAACCCCACCGGCATTGTGCCACAGCGGTCACATGGCCAATTCATTTGTATGTGTCCGTGAATGAGACAGCCTTTAGAGGTGTGTCTAACTTTATGACTGTTACCTTCTGTGAACCCTGCTGTGGCCTCCTTGTAAATGTCAGCTCAGCCATAACAGGAGAGGAAGATACAGACAAACAGAGACTGAAAGAAGTTGTGAGTGCAGAGAAATAAGGGGAGATAAAGTAGATAAAGAAGAAGAAGCAACAGATCAAGAAGTTTGCTGTCTGGCTCCAAGTCAGCAGGATCCTGGCGGAATCGACTGCTCACACTAATCCTAATTTCATTTCAAGGCACTGCTCTCTCTGAGCCACCCACTCATGCCGTAACCACACAACTGATGCCATTTAATGGATGTGGCTCTGTGTGTATTCCCAGGCACAGAGATGTAGTTAAGAGTTTGGAACTGCTTTGCTGTTGTCACTGAGGTATTTAGTTATTTAAAGCTTTTAGATGAAGTTGTTTTAGAAAAGCAATCAAACCAGGCTTTTCAGACGACCTCTCCTAAATTAAATGCCGCCATCCAAAAGCTAAGTGGCTCCAGCTAAGTGTACGGGAGGCCCCTTTGCAGCACACATACGCCAAGTGCACGTACAGACACATTCAAAAATGCTGCCAGTTTTCTGTGCAGTCCACATTCTCTTGTTGCTTGAATTCTCACTTGACTTTGGCTTCTCTTTTTTTTCCAGCGCTTATGTTGCCTTCTTGGCCTTTTCCCTCTGAAACAAAAAGCCTCCACTGTCTCCTGTGCATTCAGACACATTTATATTTGATTTTCTTCCGGACTCATTATGCATTATGCCTTGTCATTGAAAACATCTGCATTATTGTCATAAGTATAATGTAGTGTCTTCTGTGTCAGCGCTTCTAATTCTAAATCTTACATTTGGACAAGTGAATGATGGAAGGGTCGTAAACAGAAACAGAGTCGAGTAAAAGCCAAATGAAAGAGGATAAAAGAGCCAGATGAATCCTGCTCCATTTATTATGTGGTGAAGAGCTGCCTCGTCAGTTTTTTACTCCTACAAGGTTCCATGCAGATAGCAGAGACCTCTGTCCCCACAGCATGAGAAAGATGGGTCTGCCAAAATGTCCAGACTTTTAGCAGATCAGAGAAGTATGTTAGAGAAACCTTTGTCTGTCTGTAGTCACTTATTTTGACTGACATGCTTCAAGAGCAGGGTAGATTCTTGAAAGACATGCTTGCCTTTTGAGCTGAACTTGGCTAATGTGAATGTATGTCACTCTAAATGGTGCCAAGATGGGAATTGATTTTTAAGACTTTTGTTCCCAAAAGTCCAAAG